TCCAGCTCACGTCCTGCACCTCATGGGCCGAAAAGCCGACACAAAATGTCAGTTTCTTAGCCCATCCGCACTCATAGACGAGTGGCGTATCGCAGACACCTTCGCACGGATCGCAATGAAGCCATCGTTTCTGGGCATTGCTGTACACTTCGGTCCACACGTGATCAGTCCAGTCCACCACTAGTCGTGACTCGAAGTTCAACGCCCGACACAACAGTGTGAAACAGTTGGCCCATTCGCCGCACCGCCCCTTCTGAGTCGACAACAACTTCTCGGCGCTGTTATAGCGCGGGAACCGATAGTGTTGTCCGCAATCTTCGCATTCATACAACTCGACTGTCATTGCATTCCATTTCACTTCTTCGCCGATTGGACTCACATTTCGGACACTTTTGGTCTTTTTGTGGCATTTGTCACAAACGGCTGAATCAAACCACTCGAAGAACTCGTTCTTAAACCAGTGGATCAAATCGACAAGAAGTATGTCTTTGCTATCGGTTCCGATGTCTTGATCGCCGCTTTTGAGCGTTTGTTTCAATTGAAGCATTTTATTGATGGCATCGATGGTCAGCTGTTTCCACGGGACGACACTTCTGGCCATCTCTTGGAGGGCTATGTCTTCGTAATCCTTAACTAAATTCAGATATGACTTCAATTTGCCGAAGAACTGCATCTCCCAGTCGTTGATTGGCATCAGTTTGGGATCGCTTCGGAGGAATGTCGGAATGTTGGCCATCACTGCAGTGATCGGTCTCTGGAGGACACAGTCTTCGGGAGTTTCGGATCAAATATAAATCAACAAAAAAATTAATACAAAAAACAATTAATTATTAAATAAAAAATAAATAAAATCTCAAAAAATGACAACAAATTTGAGTGAAAAGTGGAGACAATTGTCGCCATCTGTCGGCCATTGGAGTCAATACTTATTGTCGTTACAATTGTTTCGCCATTTATTGTCTCCTATTATTTGGACTCAATTTGTGACAACAGATCCTCTCTTCTCAATCACTTACCACTCGTTTCTTGCATTTTGACATTCATTAGCGACACTCTCTTCGCCACAACAGTCATGTCGGCCACCGAACAGATGAGACAGATGTTGGATCAGCTGATGGGCACCGCCAGAGAGGGAGGTATTGTCTCATTTGATCGATAATTTGTATGCATTTTAAGTAATCCATTGATTGTCTTCGCAGATGAGTCCAAACATCGGTATCACTTCACTGACCATCGGGTGTGCAAAAGCTTTCTGTTGGACTGTTGTCCGCACGACATCCTGGCCTCGACGGTGAGTAGTGATTGTGTGCCGACAACTGATCCTAAAGTAATGTGTAATGTTTTGTGTAGAGAATGGACCTAGGTGAATGCAACCGTTACCACGATCTGGCGCTTAGGGCCGACTACGAGAAAGGGGCCAAAACCAAGGACTACGGCTATGATGTGGACGTAAGTATTGATTGATTTGTTTGATTATTGAACACTCGATACCACATCCTATCAACACTTGATTACAATTTTTTAATACAATTTATATATATTAATGAAATCGGAGTTCGTTTTAATTGAGTATCAAAACCGATGGTAAGTGTGGTCTCAATAACGAGCTCTGAATTGAATTATTATAATAATCGATGAAATCACTTGAGATGACAGTAA